CACCACAAAAAGAAAAAATCTTCAGCAATATACTTACATGGTTTACTTTTATGTTATTGATAGAGTCCTGTTTTTAGAATGCAGTTTTGAAATAGTTCAACAGCTGAGTTGGAAACTAAAACCCACCCTCCAAAATACAAGAGAGATATGGATGGTATAATCCCTAGGGCAGAGCCTGCTCCCAGTTTGGCTTTCTTTGGGTCCAGCTGTTGACTAGAGATAATTTGGATTATAATAGTAAAATCAAGAAATGCTTTTAATGCAAATTCCTTGCATTGCATGTCTCTCTGAAGAACAAGTGTACATTCTTGCAACTACCAGAATAGGAAGCTATTTTTCTTTTCTCTACCCAGTGGCTCTAAGTAGCTATGGAAGCCGAGGTCTCATAAATTTTAGATCACATTTAGTTTTATTTTAGGGAGCTTAAAATATAGGGTTTTAGAAACTCAACAAGACATGTCCGTTTCTTTGTGCTTTTCTGTTTAGTGTCTCCTAGTTTACCAAAAAAAGCACGTATTATTTTTCTAATGAGGAAAATGTTATTTTAGATTGCCAATTATATTGATACTCCTCACCATGATGTTAAAAGGGAAGTCAAAATGGTATGATAATTTATAGGCAATGAATGTTCTCATTAAGCAATATATGCTTGCATTGAGTCGGAAGAAACCTACAAACATATTCATCTTGGACTCCCAGCTACCTGTACAGTGATCACACCAATTCTCATTTCAAATATTTTCTCTACTGTCTCCAAAGTGCAGTCTTATCCACCCATCCATCCACCCATCCATCTGTCCATCTGTTCATCCCTTGTCTTGTCCCACAAAAGGAAGTATGGTAGCTTACAAAGACAGACAAATAAAAGTTAAAAACAGAAGAAATAGAAAAATGAAAAATAAAGGTAGGTCTGTAGCAAATCATAGTAATTTATAATCATGTTAACAATTAGGCCACACATGCGGTTTTAGGATTTTTCTTAGCTAATACCAAAGCAAAAAAACCAGTGGTTGGTCACTAGATTCAGGCTCCACAGGATCAAAACAAACCAGTTAGTCAGTAGAAGTGCTACTGCTCTTGATTCTAACACCGGACAGGAAATTCTTGAAGAGGCTCAAAAAAAAAGACTGTGTCCTCTGATGAACGCTCATGACATTATCCTCGCCATAGAGGCAGTGGCACTTCTATCGGTGCTAGAGATGGCACATTTCTTATACAGTGGGTGGCATCACGTCAAAGAGCAGCTCTGTAAACGGACATCAGCTCTGCAGACTCCACCGCCAGCCCTCAGTCCAGAGACAGCTAAAAAGCTTCGCTGGGACCATGTGCACATCTGAAGTCTCAAGATCCTGCGCGGCCCCCCTAAATTCTCAGTAAGTGTTAGTGCTTGATATTATTGTCACTGTTATTCTGCGTCGGATGTGTGCCTACTCTTTAATGGGGGAGAGACGGCCCCGCATCATTAGGCCTGTGAGCCAAAGTGGTGCCAGGAGCACCTGTGAGCTCACAGCTCTGGCCTCCCCCGCAGGCCCTCCAGCACTGGCTCCAGCACAGAACACAGTCAGGCTTAGGCTGAGCAGTGACACGTTTGGGCTCTCAAAGGCAGGCTGGCTCCAGGTAACACCTGAAAAACTGAAACTCCATAAATAGAGTTACGGCCTGTGTGGGGAGGAAGCCAAATCTGAGCTCAGGGGAATACCTTCCAAGCAGAAACCTGCAAGCTTCAGCATTTTGTTCTCAAAGGACAAACCCCTTTTAAGGAATTAAACGGGCTTTAGAAATCCTTTGTGATTTCCGGGACCTATACCAGGACCGAAGAGAGTGAAAATTCGGCTTCTAGGTCATTAGGCCCTTGTGACTCCAAGACCCAAAAGGACCTCCCTTCTTCGGTCTGCTCCTACCTCCCACCTCCCCACAACTCCTAGGCTTGTCCTCTTCTAAGTCTTATTAAAGTGTTCATCACAGTTGGTCCTACCATGTCAGAAGGCAAGGACTGCCAGAATCTGCCAAGAACAGACTCCATGTGAAGTTGAAATACCCTCCCCCCTTGGGTGATCTCTTTGGTGGTTGCATGTAAAGCACAGGCCAGCATGTGGCAGCCTGGGCATGCCTTGGCATTGAATTCTCAGAGCCAGGATGTGCGGGGGCCAGCATCCCTTGCAGTCACGTCACTTTCTTCTTTTAATGAAAATTGAAACCCAGCTCCAGCCAGAGGGCAGTGGGAGTGAACAAGTGTGTAGGGGAAAAAAATAGAAATGTTTAAGAAGGCTAGCTCTCCCCACCCCTAACCCTGCCTGGTCTAGAAAGAGCCTCCCTTCCCTCCTAGCCCGGGGAACACGGGGGCTGCAGGAAGAGACTGAGAGGGAGCTTGTGTGGGGAGGAATTATGTCTGTTTCTGGCTTCTCTGTAAATACCGCAACACCTCCGAATGGAGGAACAGCTGGGATAAGTAACTGCTAATCCCCCAGTGCCTGGAGGAAGCCGGGCGCTCCCTTCCAGATCCCCGCAGATGGTGGATGAAACAGGCTTCCCTTGAGGCAAGGGCAGCGGGAACTGTCCCACCTTCTGTTCCTTCAGTTTGCCCTGCACGACTCCCTCACAGCCTGTCCCTGCCCAGAAGGACCTCGCTGGCCCTCAAGAGCCCTGGGGACACGCCCTCGCTTTGCCATCCCACTGGGATGCTCAAGGTCAGCCAACCCGGACTCGGCCAGCACTGGCAGCTTGGGCAGCATTCAGCAAACTCCGTGGGCCTAGGAAGGAACACGCAGACAGTGCTGCTAAACCTGTCCAGCTCTGTCGGTCACCTGGGAAGAGGGGCGGTAACTTATTTAAAATGCAGATTCAAAGCCCGAGGGTGAAACCAGGGAACTGAGTTTCTGTTAGGCAGTCCAGGTAATTTGGCCGCAGATGGTTCTAGCATTCTCCCCTGAGGACAGCAGTGCAAGTGGACTGGAAGGCATTTGGAACAGGGTCCTAAGTCAGGTGCCTGGATCGGAATCCTCACTCTTCCGGGTAAAAACCAGTTTTTCTCAAACTGCACGACAGAGCCATTTCTGGCTTTTTGAAATCACTTTTGTCACAATTTGCATTAAAAAATGAAATGAGGAGGTTGGTCACACGACAAGGTGAATGTACTTAACATTACTGAACAGTGGAATTTTAAATGGTTAATGTGGTAAATTTTATGATATGTATATTTTACCACGATTTAAAAAAATGGAATATCTAGAATGTACCACAGAGGACAAAGTCATTTTTATGTACTTAAGTAGGTGTGACAGAGGCCGATCTCAATTTTTAAATGAAATGGGTCCCTGAAAAATCATGCCAAATGAAAATCAGTCATTGAACCGTAGTTTCCTACTGATTTCTTTTTTAAAATACAGGGCGGCACAAACGTGGGTTTACAGTTGTGCGTACCGGAAACACAGTGTTTATTCTTCTTATTACTTATTAATTATTGTATTATTGTCCATACAAACAACTGTAAACCTACGTTTGCCTTGCCCTGTCTATGAAATAGGGTTCAAACTTTTAAACTGTGGAAATCGAGCCAAATCACAATGAATAACTATCAAACTGTCATAGGTCTTTGAGGGAAAAAGTGTTCTTTCTTACCACAGATATAATCCACATAAAAGTACATTTTGTTCTAAGTGGGAAAAAATGAAACTGTTTTAAAAACATCTCAGCATGAAGTGTTTTCTGAGTCTGGTCTCAGCGCCCCACCGACGCGCCGGACCTCTCCACAGCAGCCTGACCCAGAGGCAGCCAGGCTGCAGTTGGCCTCCCGAGCCAGGGGAGTGTCTGAAAAGGATTCAGGTCAGCAGCCATGGCGTTCAGTGACAAGCTCGACTTTCCAGCAGCTTCCTTTGCCCATATGGCCGTGAACATGGGATCTGCCATGAGCCACCCCCAAGTAGAAACTGTCTACTGTCTACATTTGTTGCACCCAAGTGTTCAGGAACTTGAGTCCTACTCTCCTTTTAAAACAATGAAGCTTTCTTTTGGGGGCTCCCTCTTTTAATGACTATCCCAGCGATTCCTTTCTTTCCTTCCCAGCAGTTACCGTAATTGTCCCTGACTTTCCTGTAACTGCCCTGCAGTCTATTCTGTAAAGGCTGTTTTATTTATCATTGTATCCCTGTACTGAGCACAGTTCTTGTCTCATAAATATTTGCTGAATCAATAAATGAAATTGACCTGATTCTTGGCTGCCTCCAAAAGTATCACTGTGACTGAACTGGAATCATTTATCATCTATGTCTCTTTTCAGGCATTTCTAATTATCATAATAATTAATAACCCTTGCCAGAAAAGAGTTACCATGTCCCTTTTCAGAGGGGAAAATTGGGGTTCAGGAAAGTGAAGTGACTTGACCAAGACTAAATAAATGTTTAGTAAGTGATAGAGGCAGGATTTGAACCCAGGACTGTGTGGCAGTAACAGCATTTCTCCTTTTTGGGGGAGGGGGTGGTCTTTTTGTTTCTATCTGAGACAAGGCAGCTCTTCTCTTTGCTTCCTCTCATTTGCATCGTTAACAGGCCTACTCTGCGGTGGGGGGAGATCCCAGTCAGGCCCCTCACCTGGCCCCCTCACCCGGCTGACCCCACAGTTTCTTTTCCAGACGAACCCAAACATGGTTAGGGAGCTCAGCAGGGAGGGCCCAGCATACCCCGTCCCTGCAAGTATCTAATCAGCAGGCCTTCTCAGCATATCAATCCAAGACCACTCTAGAGATAGATGCCTGTGCCCAGTTTTCTATTTTTAACTGGTGTGAACAGGAGGAAAAACACAAGCATTAAAAATCAAAGTGCCAGTCGAGAACTGAGAATACAGGGCACCCCAGGGCAAACTAGTGATCTGTGTCCTTTTCCTGTCTCTCTGATCTTATGTCCCTCTCCCCGCTTCACGTCATCTTTCTGTTCCCTTCTCTTAAGTCCCAAGAGCCTTCAAAAACCTGTTTCCACGAAGAAGCTGACATCAATCATTGACACCAATGCTTCTCACACTTTAATGTACCTGTAAATCAACCGGGCATCTGGCTACAATGCAGATTCCCCTTTAGCTAGGGCAGGCCCAGGGACTCTCTGCCTTTCTAACTCATTGCTGGTTATGACGACACGGCTCGTCCATACGACGTATGTTTATATGGTTGAAGTTGCGGTTATCTTCTTGGCAAGGATTTGCTCTCTCGGTCTTATAGGCTTTTCCCCCGGTTTACAGAAGGTCACCTGTAAGCAAAAGGACAAGTTATTTCTGGCATTTGCTTCTTCATTGACTTTGGTTGCAGGGGATCCTCTTTTGGATAAAGACCCGAGTCAGTGTGAGCAAAGTCCCGCAGCAGGGAGGAGAGCTGCCTGATATTTGGGCTGGGCTGAACCTGACCTCTGTCCAGCAGCACTTGGCCAGGCTCTCACAGCTGCTCTCCTTGGCCTTCTCTCTGGACGGACCTTGAGCCATGCATGGGCTGGGGACTAAGATGGCCTTGGTTCATCTCAGCTTTCTGCTCCAGAGGCGCACAGCCCCTGCTCCCGGAGTCAAGTCGTCCAGGCTGATGGGGACTAGACCGGAAGGGTGACCTGTCCCAGGGGCCACTTTTCTAGCCACCCAAATGTGCTGCTGGGGAGCCCTTTGGGCCCATGAGGCCTCCCAGGGCTCTGCTCCTCCAGCTCCCGGTCCTGGAAGATGAGAGGCTGCTGTCACTCCCGTACTGCCCTGGCCCAGCTGTCGGGACCCCTCAGTAGAGGGCAGGGTGACAAGCCTTCCCGCTTCTACGTGGCTTATAGTCTCTTAGGCTGGCGGGGCTTGGGAGGAATCAGCCCACAGCACACTCAGGGATCACCCCCACCTAGGGAGGGGGAGGGGAGGGCTGGCGTCACTTAGTCTTCCCCTGCCCCCGACCCTTCACGGCCTGCCCCTCCCTAGCTCCCTATTTGGCCATCCCCTGGTTGCCCCCTCCCCTTCCTTACATGGTCTGGGGGCCCCCCTGGCTGATCCTCTCCCCTGCCCTTGGCTCCATGAATGGCCTCGGCGCTCCTCAGTGGTACGAAGGCGACCAAATAAGGCAAGGTGGCCGACCGGGCCCCCCACCCCTGCCCCCGGCCTCTCCAACTGACTCCGTCCGTCAGCGCGCTATAAAGCAGCGCGCACCGCACCCGACACCCAGCGCCTGCCGCCGGAGCCGAGCCCAGCCCAGCCCGACCCGCGGACGGTGAGTCAGCGCCGCCTCCCCTGCCCCGCCCTTCCCACTCGCCTGCGGACCCGGACGGCCGCCCAGGACTCACAGAGCCAGGGCATCGCGCTCCGGCGGCTCCGGCAATTTCTTTCTTAAGAAACTTTTAGATTTCACTCTAACTCCTTTTGTCCTGGGAAGTCACTGGAGAGGGGTGCGCGGTGTAGGCGCGTCTGCTCTCGCGCACTTTTTCCTCCAGCTGGGGCACGGGCAGGAATGGGGATGCTGATGGGGCCGATGTGGGTTCCCAGTTTGAGAAAAGGCGAAAATATAAAGGGCTAGGAAGGACCTGGTAAGAGGTGACTGTCCCTCCTTTCACCTGGGACAGAGAGCGAACCTGGCCAGGGAGCCTGGGGTGGTTCCTCTCCCCGTCTCTACGCACTCCTACCCCCAATCCCCGCTGTACCCTCCCACCCTCTCTTTTTCTGCCGCGAGGGGAAGGAAGGTGGCAGGTGTACCCCCCACCCCACCCCCCTCTGCTCTGTCCCCTCCTCTGGGACGCGGAGAAGGCCCGCTCTGTAGGCACTGAGCGTGGGGCACCTCTTCTCAACCTGCAGACCCCGCTGAAGCTGCCAAGATGTGCGACGACGAGGAGACCACCGCCCTGGTGTGTGACAACGGCTCGGGGCTGGTGAAGGCCGGTTTCGCGGGCGATGACGCGCCCCGCGCAGTCTTCCCTTCCATCGTGGGCCGCCCGCGTCACCAGGTAAACTTTCCACCCCTCCTGTTGTCCTGGGGAGCAGCCCTAGCCCCTCCCCACATCTCTCCCTGCAACCTCTTCAGCCCAGCAGTCTAGGAAATGTCTCACCTGAGCCTCCGGTTTCATGACCTCTTAGGTCAAGTAAGGAAAAGACTGAACTTCAAATCCAAACCAAGGCAAGCAATTCTCACACCCACCACTGAAGGAGGGTGTGAAATGTGCATTTTCCTATTCACTTCAGGGACACAACTCCAACTCCCTCGTGTGAAAAGGCTTCTCTCTCTCCACTCCTGACCTGCATTTTCAGTCTTCAGCCTCTCCTCTACCTTTTTGTGCCCTTCACTTTATTCCTTGGCCTCTCTTTTCAGTCCTGTTCAAAACGTAATAATATAACTTCTCTCAACCAACCCGGGGCCAAGCCACATTCCTCTCTCTTGTTCACAGCCAGCTTACAGAGCTCCCAAAAGATGTAATCTATCTGCTTCCTGGCTGATGCATTTTTAGAAGCCAGACGTGACAGAGTCAGTAAGTGCTATGGTGATAGTGACATACCACCTTGTTTATTAAGAGAAATGCCACCCTCTCCGGCTTTGCCACATGCCTGGTCAGACAGGCTGCCAGAGAGGAGAGCCGTATTCCTCAGTGCTGGCGAGTGATGAGCCCGGGACAGCTCTGGGCAGGCTGGATTTCACTGGCATGCCAGCCTGGCTTTTCATGTGCACTTGATGAATGTCAAAATCTTTTCTTAGGAGAAACACAATGTGTCAGTAATTCTCTCATTTCACAATGCAGTCACTTATATTCTAGTTGACATGGGTGATGAAGTTAATAATTTAATGAAGGCATTATGGTATTTTTAAAATGAGGTGAGGCTCTACTTCAGGGAATGAGCATTGTTCCCTTCCCCCCCAGTTATATTCTAAACAATAAAATTATCCTTTTGGGGGTGGGGAGGGGAGTGGGTGAAGAAAACGTCCTAGATTGATTTTAAGTGATATTTCTAAATTAGAGTAAAATGCTATCGCTTTTTATTTCTGGTCTTTATGAGGTATTCATTGACTTGGGCAGTTAGATGTAAATTTATAAAGCATCAATTATATTCCCCACATGGTAGAAGCTTGATCCTCCCATCTTTTTCTTCTTATAGGGCGTCATGGTGGGTATGGGTCAGAAGGATTCCTATGTAGGTGATGAGGCCCAGAGTAAGCGAGGTATCCTGACTCTCAAATACCCCATCGAGCATGGCATCATCACCAACTGGGATGATATGGAGAAGATATGGCACCATACCTTCTACAATGAGCTCCGCGTGGCCCCTGAGGAGCACCCCACTCTGCTCACCGAGGCCCCGCTGAACCCCAAGGCCAACCGTGAGAAGATGACCCAGATCATGTTTGAGACCTTCAATGTCCCTGCCATGTATGTGGCCATCCAGGCAGTGCTGTCCCTATATGCTTCTGGCCGTACCACAGGTATATTTGGGCTCTGGGGACAGTCACCGATGAATCACATTCCCAAGTCATTGACGTTGCTGTGAGTCAGTTTCCCCAATTGAAATGATCCTTTCGCTCATACTCCATGGGAAGGTGTTGGTGCTAAGAGAGAAAGGAAACCATAGTTCCTTTCTGTGGTTAGTCTCAGAGCACATGTATTTCTAAGAGCTGAAACTGCGTGGTGTCACATGATGAGGCACCAAACGATGTATCATCCTGGAACGCAGCAGTCATTGGCATGTGTTCATACCATCACAGCCCCTGGGCGAATGTTATCAAGGAGAACCCATATTCCCCACATGGTCTGAGTCAAAAGAGAGAGAAACACGTGTAAGTTAGACAGGAGGAAAGAAAAACACGCCTGGATGCTTACATGATGTGCTAATGCTGATAAAAGGCATGGTCATTTGAAAGTGTCCTGGGGAAATTTTTCTACTACAATATTTAAAAGGATGAGCTATGGCTGACTTCAGCTTTAACATTCATTGTGCTCATTTTTATTCTTCCTGTGTAAGGGATATAATTTTATCTGGATCCTTGCCCAGCACTAGTTTATCTTAGCCACGATCGGAAGTAGGCTCTGACATGGCTGAAAACAGTGGTGTCACCAGGGATTCACCTCGGTCTTGTCTACCTCCACTGACAGGCATTGTTCTGGACTCTGGGGATGGTGTAACTCACAATGTCCCCATCTACGAGGGCTACGCTCTGCCCCATGCCATCATGCGTCTGGATCTAGCAGGTCGGGATCTCACTGACTATCTCATGAAGATCCTTACTGAGCGTGGCTACTCCTTTGTCACCACTGGTGAGTGTGCACGTCTCGTGTGCTACAGCACGTGTCTGCTTTCTCCCTTCACCCGTGAATCCATCTGCCTCCTATAGTTGACTTCATTCTTCAGAGCTTGACTGGGATCCTCTTTATTTCTCCAGCTGAACGTGAAATTGTCCGTGACATTAAAGAGAAGCTCTGCTATGTCGCTCTGGATTTTGAGAATGAGATGGCCACAGCTGCTTCTTCATCCTCCCTGGAGAAGAGCTATGAACTGCCTGATGGCCAAGTCATCACTATCGGCAATGAGCGCTTCCGCTGCCCCGAGACGCTCTTCCAGCCCTCCTTCATCGGTGAGTGGTAGGGTCTGCTGCAGAGGTACAGCTTTTCCCTGGAAATCTTGGGAGGTCCCAGAGTAAAGTCCATTATGATAAAGAAGGAGTAAGGGCCCTTGAGTTAAAAGAAGTTATAGCTTGGAGTCCCACACAACTCAGTCTCAGGTTCTGATGGTTCATTAAAGGCACAGCCATCAGTGTTCTGTTGCAGTGGAATGATAAAAGATGACACACTGGCTTTATCTCAAAAGAAAGGGTAAGTCAGTGTAATAACTGAGTAATTTCTGTCTGCAAGAAAGAGACGATTACTCAAGGGTGCTGATTGATTCCAATGAGCTCCATTACCAAAGAGCTGCGCTATTTGAGTTACTCATATAGCTTTTGAGTTACTCATGGTTAAATGCAGCAACAGTCATAGTAATAACTGGCGTGACATTTATGTCACCAAACATCTTACCTAAGGAATGATTTACGAAAGGAAGCTTCTGAGGATCTTATTTTAGTCTGTAAATAACACTTACATGAATTTAACTTAAATGTATGTCTTATCCCTTTTCTAATACATTTTTATCCATCTGGTGGCTATAGCAAGTGTTCAGTCTCAACAGGTGCCAAACGCAATTGTTTGCTTCTTGGCATTCTGCTGCAGACTCAGCACTTTTAGAGACACCTGTTCCACAAATGCCATTAGTGTACCTTATGAAGGAGCATATGTTTCAGAGACAAATGGAGACAGTTCACCAACACAGAGGAGCCCTGTTCTCACCCCTCCACCCTGGCCTTCTGGCCTAAGTGCATAGTGATTTTTTTAAAATGTGTTCCTAGGTATGGAATCTGCTGGCATCCATGAAACGACTTATAATAGCATCATGAAGTGTGACATTGACATCCGTAAGGACCTGTATGCCAACAATGTCTTATCTGGAGGAACCACCATGTACCCTGGGATTGCTGATCGCATGCAAAAGGAAATCACTGCGCTGGCCCCGAGCACCATGAAGATTAAGGTAAAGAACTTCTGCGCCTGGGGGAGCCAACAGAGGGCTTGGTATTCCAAGCAGAACACGTTCCTACCCCCTTTTCCCTCACACTTAGTTTCCTGTCTACTAAAAACTTTATCTTTTAGCTTCTCTAGCACTTCTTTTTTCTGATTTTTCTAGCACTTTTTTTTTTATTTTTCTAGCACGTTTCCCAAGATAGGAGACTTTAAAAATGCTTTCAATTGGTGGATAAAAAAAAATCTTTGAAGGAAAAAAAATGTTTTCAAAGTCCCCAACTTTGGGGCTTTTAGCTTGTTGCCACATCACGCTCAAGTTCAGAGAAGTGGGAAATTTAGCTTTTTGCCACATTATACTTGACTTCAGACAAGTGGGAGATTCTGTTTTATAAAGTACTTGATAATAAAAATAATGAAGGAGAGGAAAAGTTCATAAAACTTAACTCAGCCATAATAATTTGTGGTATGAAGTATCTCACATGACAATGGATTAATATCTGATTTTTTTTCTCTTAGTCTCCTCAACATGTGGCTTGCTCTTTTGCTTCAGAGTTGCCTGGAAGTTTTTGTTTTCTTTCTGCAGATCATCGCTCCCCCTGAGCGCAAGTACTCTGTGTGGATCGGGGGCTCCATTCT